TTTAAGAAGGATGTAACGTACGATACTTTTTTATATACTTGGCGTAATCTTTTTCTTTTTTTAAAAAAGAGTTTTGGTAGTTTACATGTTTATAAAATATCACATTTTGATAGACATATATAATCTCTGTAATTTGTCCGTAGGAATCGAATTCCGTTAAAAGTAATTTAATTAAAAATAGGCTTGTGAAATTTTATTTCAAAGAAATGTTATAATAAATTCTATAATTAAAAAAATTATGTGTTCAAAATTAAAAAAAGACAATTCTTAAACATTATAAAATAATAGGACGTTAAAAATATTGTTTAACATTTGAAATTACTGGTTACTGGACAGAATCATCTATTATTGTACAAGAGAAAATCATTGCTTTACTTGTAAATTACAAATATATCCTTGAACAAGTTGTGAGAATAGTAGATCAAGGTGACGACAGCGTGATTTTTTTAAATTGCATCTCATGAATTCATTCTGAAATATTAAAAAGGGTATGTAACAAGGGTATATTTTCTATTTTTTATTACATTCTATAAATCCTTATAATTATGCCGTTAAACTTCGAGTAGTAAGTAAAGAATATATGTATATCACAATTTCAATAAAAATTATGTAATAGTATTTGCATAAGATATACAGGGTGTCCCAGACCTACCGCACCCACCTGCTATAATAACAGATTCCTTAAGTCATTTAGAGACGAAAATTCTAATACCAAAATGTTGAGACTAGAATAGTTTTCAAGTGGCAAGGTTAAAAAAAATATTTAAAAAATAAATAATTTGTATTCTTAAATTTTAATTTAATTAATAGTCTTATTATATATTAAATTCTAAGAATTGATATAAGAAGCAAATTTGCAATCTCCTATATTAAAGTGCCTAATTCTAATATTAGACGATTATATTCAAGAAACTCAAGATAATAGAATTTAATTGAAATGTATACTTGGCCGCGATTATAAATCGCCGACTAATTTATGAGTACGAAAGATAAATGATTCCTACTAATTGCAGATAAGCAAATGTCACCAATGACGATGAGTGTCATGTGTGACGTCACGTAGGATGTTACAGCACGTATTTCTTAGAGACCGCTTCTAGAAACGACCCTCCTCAGCTGCGGC